GGTCACCGCTTGCGAGCGCGCGATAATGAGTCACAGCCCAAATTGGTACTCTTACTACACCATATAGTAACTGAAACTGGTTGTAAAAAACTTAACTTAAGAAAACATGCCGGCTCCATGCATGACGGGCATTACCCGTGCCTAAGAAAAAGAATAATGGGAGATCTAAAGGCGATGAGCGATGCCCCGGCAGAAAGCCAGCCTATGATAAACGAAGATGCCGTTCATCATAAAGTTATGGCCGAAAAACCCGACCCTTTCACGGCGCGAATCACTTAGAGGCGTGTTAGGTTGCAGTGACTGATGGTGGTATCAAGCTACCTGATCCGGAATAATCTACCAGAGTCTCGGCATTGCTCAAGTGTGTTATTCAGAGCTAGAATGAACGTGGTCTGTTCTTCGCCAAACACAAATGTTCACGCATTCCGATCAGCTAGCGCAGCTGCGTTTCGGCAAGCCGTGCCGGAAGTTAGGTGTAACCTGGCGCTGTAGTTCACGAAACCGAGATAGCTTCTTAGTTCGCTATGTTCGCACGGTTCCGATCGATGCTTCGCGCGCCGCGCGTTTTACTTCTTCCGTGTCAGGCATTACTCCCTGGTCTGACAGTTTGTGTCCCTCGCAAAATACTAACTCTGATTGTGACAACTCGCATTTCTGCTCTATTCACGGTTCAGGCCTGCTTTCTAAGTCTCTCGAGTAACTTGCGTACACTATCTCATAGTGTTGCCTCTACATGTTATCTGTGGTGCACGATAATTATCCGTGCTGGACTTGTTTCGCGGAACGCGGGATGTCTCTGCAGCACACCTTGCGGATACTCGCTTCTTGGAATATTGTCGGTAGTGCCACGTGATTCGAACATTAAACGCTTGTACGGTATAGCCCCCCTACGCGCACAAATGTCGCTAAGGTTATCCGTGAGTCAGGGTGGCAGTTCAACTGACTGAATCCCCACTTCAGATCGAAACTTCGAGAATTACTTTGTTGTATATCTTCGTAAGCAGCTCTTCAGATAGTGGGTATCGTGGGTGACGTTCACGCATTACTGTCCTGGTTGGACGCGTCTCATGTCTACACAAATTTATGTCGGTCGTTCGCTCAGCACTATTACCGCTAGGAGCTGCACCCATCTCTGTCGCGTTCACTCGACGGCCTCTATTATTTCCGCCGCTCACGAGTTCCTCTATTTTCTCTACTCTTTCCTCAGTTCCGAACATGGTGTTCGTCGTACAGGCCTGAGCAAAACGCGTTATAACCGAAGATCAGTTTTTAACTTTATCTGTGTGACCTTTGAGTTTGCCGCACCCCTTCTAATGCATCGCATAAACTCAGTCTCAGTTTCGCGCTTCATTCTCTGCGATTAGCGAAACTCCGCAGTGTTGGTGCATATCCTGAGGACACGCATCAGAGTTTATGTCTCCTGTATCTTCAGGACCTGCTAGCCTGCGTCGCCCGTTTTCAGACCTAATAAGGGGAATACCCTTGGCGGTCGATCACAACACAAAAACCGCCTTCGCACTTTTGTTCCCTATTGAAAGCTTTAAAGTATTTAAATGTTCTCGATTGTTGTCAATCGCGTCTTTGCCAACCCAATATGCAAAAGCATGTGTTTGGCGGGGGTGGCAGTACTGGCAGACACAAATGAGCACCGTGACTTTTCAAAGTCGGTCCACGTTTCTTGTCTATGACGGTTGAACACTGGCTCCTGAGTCACCAACATGTGAAGTGGCACCTGACGCCAGCGTCACATGTACTTTCACCTCGGCCCGGTGGTTTGTGTCGCCTTATTTAAATGCGTACTTCCCCTTGTTGCGTCGCCGTCTGGTTCTCACCCGCTGCGTCACGTCACATTAGAGTATGCCACGCATTTCACATGCTTTAGATATTGCAAAACTTTTTGAAAAGTGGTCCATTTTTGGGCAGCTTTGTGTACACTTTCTTGCCCTTGGCCGGGGCACTTGGTGGCACGGGCCATAATTGTCCGCGCAGTACCGCAACTGTAGCAACTTATCGCGTTACGCTCTGTTTACGGGCACTCCGTCTTGCCTGTTACGGCCTACTAGCAGCTTTACTGATCCTTACTGACTTGCACCGCCGAAGCTTCTACTTTGTTCACCACCGGAGGTCGTCCCCCCTGTCTGCACACATAGTACTGTGTGTGGCGCCCCATTTAGACTCTTTATCTTCTTACACTGTGGCCGCTAAAAATGAATGCCAATCACGGCCAGGGGTCCAGTTCGTCCCTTTCTCCACGATGCCTACTGCTTATGTACGGTGATGTGACATAACGCCACAAGCAGGCATCCCACGAATGGGTTGCTCTGCCGTCGCTCGTCGTAGGTTGCAGTCCAATTGCAAGTTTGCGCCAGTCTATGATAAAAATTGCTAGAATGTCTCGCACTTGAGGCTCTTGCTGTGTAAACAATGTCGTGCATATCGGCACGTTCACCTAGCCGGCACGCGAATACCTGGTTCAGTGCCGTTACACATTAGGGGTGTAGTCCGTTCACCTCCCCCGTGTCTGGTAGAGTGGCGAAATGTTCTTTGCACCTCAGGGCCCAGATAACGTGGCAACAAACAGCTCTCATTTCTGACGAGTAATGTTCCTGTGCGCGCGTCATGTGCATGTGGTTGCATCCTCCTTCCGATCAGTCTGTTAATTATTATCCTTCCCATCTGCCAGAAATCGAATCGCGTCAGCCATCGTGACCACCGTGTGCCTACTGTAGCCGGGGTGTCTGGTAGCATTCAAACGCTTAAGGCCTCCCATTGACACCGAATGTCCCGCTGCCTCTCCATTGTTTCGAAACGACGCCGTGGGGTGCGTTGTTTCACGCTCGTCCGCCAGCTGTAATACCGGCTGATGATATGGATTTAACCACTTAGGACGCATAATTGCTACACGACAAATTATGTTTGTTAGTCTTGCCGGTCGGCCATTTATTCAAGAGGCCTTCTTTCCACAATGGCAACTGTTGAACATAACAATTAGAAGCAATCATTGTGTGTGCTAGCAGAGCGCGTGTTCAGGAGGGAGACCGAACGCCATCGCGACGCGCTTTGCGCGCAAATTCTAAACCGCTCTGTTCGCCATCAGCGTGCGGCGGTTGTTTGACAAGATGGCGACGAAAAAGATCTGGCGACATGCGAATCTAACTTTCTTGACGCCGCACATGTTGCAATCTATTTCAACTTTATTCATTTTCATTCATTCCTTTTACTCTAAAAGTCAATTTGTATCAATTTCGTTTCTGCTAATTCCGTTGTAACAGCTACTTGTTCGAAGACGATAAAAATCTCGCGATTAAAATCTGCTGAGTAACCCTCGCATGGGGCCTGCCATCTTTTGATCAAGCCGAGCGCACAGCGAGCGCTCCGGTGCGTTCAGGAGGCGGCTGCCTTCGTTCATCGAGCGTTCGTCGATCGGAGCGGCTCGCTCTCCCTGATACACGCCTCAGAATAGACTACATTATCAGAGCTAATAATTATAACATTTGTATTATAGTCTAGTATTATATCTTTATAGAGGTATTATATCTCCCACCAGTGACTGTACCTTAAGGATCGGTCACGCCATCTCACTACGTGGCAAAGGCGGGAAACCAAAAATTTAGCATCAGAGCAGGGAACATAACAAAAAGAGTAATTTTACTACAACTTTAAAACCGTTTTTTGGGGCGTTCTCTGTAGGTAAAGGTCATGGGACTCAATACTAACTGTGCTATGCTTACCAAAGAGCTAATAATACAAATAATTATATTACGGTATATTAGCTCCTGATCTTACATGTTGACGGACTGCTCGGTGTAAATTCACTATAAAGGATGCGTACGTAACAGACTCTATTGGAAAAGAGACATTCCCTATCAGGAGGGATAAAAATGAACTAACAACGATTTTTCGCACACACTCCTCATGTCTATAAGAATGATATTTCTGATATGTGAGCATAATGTGAAATGTAATGATACGCATATGCCAGCAAGTACGCCACCCTCTGGCTACGAGTAGGGCTCAACGTGGGGAGTGGAAAACAGACACAACTGGATCATGGATGAATTATGTGGGCAAGCATTTCTACAAGTGCGTCGTAGCTCACTTAACGCCGCTTTCGGCGGAAGTTACTGAGTTAGGTTCATCATGTGTGTTTGCTGACCTCCTTTTTGTCATACATCGGGAAGCGCGACACAGTCCGCGCGACGTCCGAACATAACGCGAGTATCCAGTCCCGTGCATCAAACCGCGCAGCCCATTCCGGCGTTCGGCTGTCGCGTTGACACGATGTGTGAAACAAGTAGCAGTGTAACCGTTTTCGTCCCTCGCTCCGCATAACGGCTTGCTTCCTTAACGGCGGGCAGACGACAGGTGGTATGTCACCAATCATGTCAAGTTAGAGACTGGGCTTCTGGAGGTGGACGCGTACGACAGTCAGTGGTGGTGAAGCGACAGACACTAAATGTTCAAACATTGTTGTAACGTCGATGTAATCAATATGGGCAGCAAACATGTGGAGCGATCATCAGGGAAATATTTGAAAGAGTCTTTTAAGTTCTCATAATCTTCCTCTCAAGTATTTTGGCGTCTTTAAACCGGAGCGTATAACGAGAGTAAC